AGAGTGAAAATAGAAACGTTGCAACTACAAGAAAAGAGGAAATATGTAAAGCATATTGAGCTATTTTAACTAATAAATCTTATGCATCACAGCATAGTCAATATTATGATAATGAAACTCTTGCATTGACCATGAAAGTCAGCAGGTGTCTAGAAAAACTTATTTCTACTTGTTGATAATGAAAGATATTAATGGCAAGTGTGAAAATAAAAAAGTTGCAACTAACAAAAACAGAGGAAGTATGTAGAGCAAATTGAGCTATTTTTATTAACTGCAATAAATCTTATGCATCAAAACATAGTCAAAATTATGATAATGAAACTCTTGCATTGACCATGAAAGTCAGCAAGCTCTAGAAATACTTGATTCTACCGCTGGGATCAATTGTAGAAGAGATGTGAATACCATCTTTTAAATTTCAGCTAATTGCCTAAAAGCTCCTCAAGTCATTAAAATGTATTCAGAAAAATAATAGAAAGAAAGAAATATTGTTACTGATGGGCAGCTAATGCACTTAAAAGCTCAAAAGAAGAAACATATGGTTCCCCGTCTAGTTTAATTACATTAAAGCACGCACCATATGAGTTGAGCTCACTGTTCAACTTACAAGCCTACATGACATTGTCATAGGTAGTTCAAAGTTGAAAGAGAGGCCCTTAAAGGTAGCTTGAAAACTAAAAGCTACTTGTAATCTTGTATATACAAGTATACTTCAGATTAATGCACGAAAATGACATGGCATGTGCATATAACTGCAGAAAAAGCATTGTGACATATCAATTTATCAAGTGCTAGTATAAACATTGCTTCCTAAGTAGGTAAAGTAGTAGTTACCACTTACTAGTAATCATGAACACGCAAATTCAACATCAGCTGATCTAACATAAAGAAACATCAGAAGTGGACAAGGGTACAATTATCAATGCTATAAAGATGAAAACTCCTTCCAATTGACTAAAGCCATAAAGGTAAAGACCCAATGTCTTTAAGGCTAAGAGTAAAAGGAAGCACCTGCTCGATAAAAATAGATGGGATGGGTGGGAATTGGAGAAGGAGGCTCTAAATGGAGAAGAATATAAGGGAAGGAAATTATTGTCTCACTACCATTTAGGAAAACTATAATAAGAGATAATTATAGCAATTGTTGCATACTTCAGCAATTCCATATTAAATAATCTTAATAGATTATTTAACATAGATTTTCTTCAAAAAAATATTTATAAACTTAAATTCTATTTATATACTCAATAAAGAGGTTTTAATTTCTCCAGTCTTAATAACAGGTCACATTACCTCAACATCAGCACCTCGGTGATAATCCATTGTTAAAGTTTCGGCAGTTCGCTTTCCTTCATCATAGCAGCTCCTCACACCTAGAAGGTAAAAGGAACTTAAGACATTCAAACACACAAAACAAGAAAATCAAGAAGAAGACATAAAAATAAAAATAAAATTCTTGAGCTGTATGCGAAAAATTTCTTACCTATAGGATTCACATGGCCCCAATATGTTTCTTTTTGTGGATGTTCAAGCGGGTCTCCGTATACCTCACTTGTACTAGTAAGAAGAAACCTAGCACCAATTCTCTTAGCAAGTCCCAACATGTTAAGGGTACCCATCACATTGGTCTTGTAATCATTAAGTCAAGGACCTCAACATTTTCAATTATGGCAAACGTCAAGAAACCAAATGCTAACTTACATCCTAGCATAAATTCTACTCCCTCCGCCCGCAATTATCTGCAACATTTACCTAAAATGGGTGCTCTATATTATTTGCAACAAATTTTTTTCTTTCCTTTTTGGGTAATATTTAACTATCAATGACCCACTATTACCCACTTTTTTGGTTAGTGGTCCCCTCCACCACCTATTACCCACTAACTAAAACCTACTCAAAACAAAATTAAGTGAGACCGCTCCTTTTCCCTCCATTTTCAACCTTAATTAAACCCACCAAAACTCAATTAAAACTCCCTTAAAATTTTTGCATATGAGTCCGAAATATTGTCCTTTATTGCAAATAACCTTGGGCGGAGGGAGTATATCATTAAGCAAAAATAAACACACACAAAACAAATACTTCCTCCATTTTCTTTAAACAGACAAATTAATCAAAATTATTTATACACATATTAGCTAACCCTTCTCTAATCGTGGTGTTAAAATTATTTTGATAAAATAGCTCGTTTACCTATTCAAATCACCTCCTAAAAAAGCGTGTCAAAAAGATGGGTTGCATTTAAAAGAAAACAGAGGAAGTACTCCATACAAGATATAGCTCATCAATTCAACAGCAAAAGGATATGATCGTTTTGACAGGATTGTACTTGTAATGAACCGGAGACGCCGGGCAAGCCAAGTGATAAATCTGATCCACTTCAAGCAATATCGGTTCGACAACATCATGACGGATCAATTCAAACCTCGGATTTCCAAAATGGTGAGCCACATTCTGTTTTCTCCCAGTAAAAAAATTATCAATCACAATAACATCATCCCCTCTTGCGACTAGCCTATCTACCAAATGACTCCCAACAAATCCAGCCCCACCAGTCACAACAATCCTCATTCGCCGCCTTCCGATCCCGGCTGGCACTCTCCCAACCTTCCCACCAATCCAATTACCCTGACCCCCATCATACGAACCCAGGCCAGTACTCCCTAACCTACCCGAAACCGCTGTTTTCGGAAAATTCGAATCTTGAGGACCAATTCGAGATAAAGTAGGTTGCAAGATGAAGAAAGTTGAACCAATTAAAATACCCACCAAAATAAACAACAATCTTTGCTCTCTGAATAAATAATTTATGGATCTAGGGAAAGATCTATGATATTTTTGTGATTTTGGCGAATATGGTGAATTTTGTGACATGGGTATTTCTTCATCCCTCCTAACACTATTCCCACTACTTTGTTTGTGAAGTTGTTTCATTTTATTCAAAATTCCAAATACAATCAAGAAACTTCAAATCATATGAAAATTAAAATTGAAAAATTCTAAGAAAAGGGATTTAATTTAGATGTTGAGATGAAGATATTACCTGAGAAGGAAGTAAAGTGCAGGATATAAGTCTCAAAAAGGCATGAAATTTAGGGTTTTGTAGAGTAAGAAATGAATGAAGCAGTAGCGCAAGCAGTTGCCATTGAAGAGGAGATTAGCGTAGGAGAAAGAGTCTACTCATTGAAAAGTGGTTACGCGGAGTGTCACACAACTCACAAGTGTGAAAATTAAGTAAAGGCCCGCCAAAGGGTCCTTTTGATGTGAATCATGCTTGTCTCTAAGAGTAACTCATAACAATTGCAATTTCTTAGGTGCATTCAATAACACGATAACACTGCCACAACGGCACAAGGTACACTTTGAGTCGGGTGTACTTACAATAATTCTAATATGAGTAGTATCTATTTGAGCTTTTATAGAGTAATATTATACTTCCAATTTATTACTCCCTTTGTTTTTAATACTTGCTTTATTTCTTTATGTCTAGAGTTTTAGGAGAAATTAGAGAAATTAATAAAATATGGAGGTAACAGTTAGGTGGAAGAATAAAGAATTGTAAAAAACAAAAGTAATTGAGAGAATTGGAGGAGAGGGAATATGAAATTAATAAAACATGATTTATGTTGGGTCTACTAATTGAGATAAATGAATTAAATATTATAAAAACTTTTCAAATAAGGAAATGTAGCAAGTATTTAAAAACGGCCGAAAATGAAAAGTGGAGCAAGTATTTAAAAAGGAGGGAGTATTTTGGCCCTATTCACTTCACCTTACAAAAATAATATTCAATAAAAATAATTTCAGTTCAATAAAAATAATTTCAGTTCAGTAAAAATAATTTAATTCAGTAAAAATAATTTCAGTTCAGTAAAAATCAGTAAACTTAAAGAAGAATTATAATAGAAAATCAGTAAAAAATAATTTCAGTTCAGCAAAAATAATTTCAGTTCTAGAAAATTAATTTCAGTTCAGTAAAAATAATTTCAGTTTAGCAAACATAAGGTGAAGTGATCGGGGTCTTCCTCCGTTCTTTTATTAGTGTACCATAGAAGTTGGACACACGTTTTTTGGTAGTAGAAAAAAATGGGAGAATGGTAAAAATATAAAATTGCTTGTATACATAAACTAAAAATATGAAGTGTGAACATGTATATTTCTTTTCCTAAAATAAACATAGTGCAATATTTGTAAAACTTTCGTAAAAGACAAGTGGTGTAATATTAAAAAAATAATAATAATAAAAAAAAAGGAAGTATTAATTTTTGTGTTCTCTTCAGAACTTGTTTACTGTGCTCAAATCTCATCACAACTTATCTAAATTTATTAGCTCTAATCTAATTGGACCTTATTATATGACCTTATATGATCTTCAAAGCTACATTTATTTACCCACTACGCAACTTATCTATGACTAATACAATATTAAAATTTCACTAATCATGTTGAGTTGGATTCCACCATCACTATTCTTTACACTAACTTTTATATGTGACTGACCACATGGTATAGCCAACCACCATAGAGTTACTTAGTAATATAAGGGTTACTCTATTAGTATTATAGGGTTACTCAAGAAGTAAAATAAGAGATTACTCTAACAGTATTATATAGTTATTCTGTGAGTGCTATAGAGATTACTTCGTCACAAACGACTACACGAAAAAAAACGCCAACCACATAAAAAAGCGCGTTGTACTCATTATTGGTGGAGTGGGTAAGTTCAAAGCCTAATTTCTCAGGTTAAAATTTGCTTATTTTGCACATTAAGTTTTTGCCGAAAAAGTCCACATTAGATTCTTTGCAAAATCATGTTATTCTTGCATTTGATTGGATGATATCATATATTCCGTACATATTAAAATTGGGAGTTATTGTCACAGGGAGTCAGGGATTTGATAATATATACTTCGTCAGTTCGTCTGCATTCAATTAAGATCCATTCATCATTTACTTAAGCATACAACAATACTAAATTTACAAGAATAACGAAATTTTACGAGGACTAACGATGTTAATGAGCTAATAACATTAACACTATGATTAATATACTTGGAGCTGATAAGTTGATACATCATCCTAATTCTTATTTCTTGTAAAAAAATTCCTACAGATTTTTCAGACAGCTTATTGTCCTCTACCGAACTGATCGCTCAGTTCATACACATATACATTAAATTAGATGCTGAGGCCTCTCTACCCAATGATGGATTCTGCTATTAGCTCATCTATTAACAATACTTCAATATCCCTACCTACAGCACTGATGTGCTCTCCTAGCTTCATCCACCTCATGTCACTGAGTATCAACATGTCAATGGCATTTTCTGCTACCTTGTTTTCCTGCTTCTCAAGAAGTTTATGAAGCTCAGTTTTAAGTACATCTTTCAACCATTGTGGACCAATATTCTTTCTTGATGTCATTGTCCACGACTCCAAATCTACAATTTGCTCAGAGATCTCTACTATTCGGGCATTTATATGGTCAAATAACAGTCTTCGCTCAGATCTTGAACATGACTCCAATTCACCATATCTCTTCTCTAGATCTTCAAACACCCAGGGGTCAATAGGACAATCTGGGGAGTGCCATGTTCCATGAAACAACTCAGAATCAGTTTTATTAAGCCCAGAGAGGGTCAACACATCTACCAAGTACCAAGATTCCCAGCACTCTCCAACTTGAGGAAAGTGCTTGCCATCATGCAACTCGGTTGAATCCTCCCCGTATTCATCACTGGAAACGACCAGAGATCCTTCATTGTAACCTTCTGATTCCAGCTTAAGAAGCTGAAGTTGTTTTCTCAACCCTGGAAGTGAAATACATGTTCAGAGTGATAAATTCACTAACAAATTGTAAAACTATTGGCAAGTAGTAAAGAAACACAGGTAAACATCATGTTCCTTGCAATATGCACCATAATTATGTAGCAATATCCATCATATCTAGTAATCATCATCATATGCATACTGACGCAACTCACAAGTAATGCACATTAACAATTACCATTGCCACAACCAACTACAAACTACTAATGCTAGTTTAATTTTTTTATAGTCTCTAACCTTAGCCATATGTTAATCTCACTCTTCATTTCTTTTCAAGTACCCATGTCGGACACTCTAGACTTTCACACTTCATTTTGTGACAAAATCAGACAAAACTGCATAAAATGACTGTATGACTTCAAACTTCTAGCCAAGTCTAACAACATAGATCCTAGCTGAGTTTCCCTTAATAAAAAGGATTAGAGGGAAGCGGTATCAGTATGTAGTATGACTTGGTAGCTCACTAAACCAAAAAGAACCTGCACAGCCTATAGCTTTTTCATCCTTAGTTCTACTACCCACTATATCACCCCCCCCCCCCCCCACAACCCCCACCCACCCACCCACCCACACACTTTCTCTTTGAAATTCTTGTTCTCTCCCCTCTTCTTTCAACTTCCCAAATAACACTTTACCAAAAAACGTCTCCAAACTTCAAAGCTTTACATCAAAGTATTATTGTCTCTACCTTCACCTGATTTAAATTCACTTTAATAGTTTGAGTTAAAATATTATTTCTAGATACTTATCAAGGGCTAAATATTCAGGTAAGAATTAGAGTTGAAACTAATATGGAAAAGAAAACATATGGGAGTTTAGTTCTAACCACTTGATAAACCCATATCCAAAAGCTAATACAATTTATACGATGCTTTGATCATATCTTAACACTATACTCTAATTTCATAATTTGAATCCCATATTTACCCAACCAACTAGCTAATTGAAACTTCAAAGCCTCCTTTAAATGGTGCAAAATTGAATCAGATTATAGAAATGGAATCTTTTATCATTCAAGACCATTCTAGTAAATCATTCATATTAGTTGATTGCTTGCAAAGTAGAAAATAGGCCATAAAAGAATTTAATATCAATCGTGTGATATCAAGGGGTTCAGCAGTTCAGTACACATTAGATAGCAGTGAGCACTGAGCAGGCTACTTCTAGCAATAAAACTAGTCGATACTACCTAATCTTGAGAAAGGACTCCAGCAGGGGACCCATGATGTACAAAAATTAGATATAAAAACTAGTCGATACTACCTAATTTGTTATGTAGTAAGTTGATGCACTGGTCTTACTAAGACTAGGTAGTGCATTACATTCCTGTTCCGTGTAAAATAAAAACTAATTTGATTTAATTCAGATTCTATATAATCACCAGCATTGGCTGTATAGCATCCTTTTAGCAACATATGGACTTTAATCTAACAATCCTGGTAACGAATACCAAATAAAAGAATTTAGGATGCAATAGCATTACTTGAGATGGAATAGTTACTTTTAAAAACATAATAAATGGGAAACTTGAAAGAGAAACAAGGACCACATATATAGATTCTCACCATGAAGTTCAGCGCTGACTCTCTCAAAACACTCTGAACCAGATGAAACATCTTCAACAAAAGGGGCTTCCAAAATTGAAACAGGACTCGGTTGCTCAGACTCCTTGCTGTTTGCAGGAGAATCTGCATGAGTTGCAGCACACTGCAGACAAGAGGAATCTCCTACCTGCAATATCAAGACAATCATATTTAAGAAGGTTACACAACAGAACAACATATTCAAAGTGAATGACTTTAACTGCTGAATTTTACCCAACAAATTTCAAACATAATGATGACTGCCAATTTAAGAGGAGAAATTTGTTTTATTCGCCTTAGAGTCTTATCTAAACTCTGGAATGATTGAGATAAAAGCTTTGGCAGATGAAAAGATCTTATGTCACCTCAAAACATCACATCACTCAACAATTATGCCTATCTAATGCCCCTATAACACTAATGGAGTTGGAGAAAATCATAGAGAGACTTTCCTTCAGGCAATGGTATTGGTTGAGGATGGTAATTACAAAGGAATGCCTCAATAGTTAAAAAAAATTCAAGGTAAATAAAATGAGGGTAGATTCAATATTAGAAAATCTTTCTCTGTTCTCTTTCCTTGCAATATATATTACTTCTAGAAAATAGAAAGTAATTGATTACAGAACTTCAGATAAAAAAAAGTATATATCATTCCAAGGCTCATCATGCTCCTAACTGGTAGCTGAGAGTGTGGAGTGGTATACCTTCTAGAAAATAGAAACTAATTGATTACAGAACTTCAGATAAAAAGTTCAGCTCACACACTCTTCCAGGTTATCTCATTAAATTAATCCTATCAACATGTGAAAACCACCTTTGCATGGAGTGAGGCTGTGTGTAACGTCAACTCATGTGATAATACATTTTAAGTTAGTGGCTAAATGTGCCATGATTTAAGAAAATGAAGAGACAAACAGCCTTCAGTTCCCACATAGTGGCAAGCCTAACTTTAGTGTGACAGACATGTTAAGGTTTAAGGGTTTGTGTCAGAGAGGATTATGATCTAGAGCACATGAAGGTTTCCCGGAAAAGTTTGGTGAAAACCCCCTTTCTTCTAAGATCATCATGTGGATGGCACTTTTAAGGAGCAATAGAATTAAGTTTGTAATCAATTTTCAATATTGGACAACATACCTCTTTTTTGCCACTCTTGAACGTTGCATCTAGAGCTTTCCCTTATTGTTTAGGATAATCAACAATACCATAACTAAAAACTTTCACTACTCATCAAATTATGAAACAATTTATCTCCAATCAATCAATCAAAGCCTTAATTCAATAAGTGGGGTTGGCTACAGGAACCAAAAGTGGTTACTCCGTGTAGTCATCGACAAAAATCTTCCTCCTCCACCCCTTAAGATCCAATGACTCATCCTCATACAAATCCATATACTTCATATCCGTCTTAACTCCTTCCAACCAAAACAATTTCGGTCTCTCTCTCTCTCTCTCTCTCTCCCTCTCCCTCGTTTAACCCCTCCATGGTCCCACTTTTCCACTCTTTGTACCGGTGCACCCTCGGGTCTCTACCTTACATGCCCAAACCAACGTAGACGATTTTCCCTTAGTTTGTCTGTAATGCCTGTCACACCTACTATCTTGCAAATAACCTCATTTCTAATTCTATCTCTTCGAGTGTTCCCACACATCCACCTTAACATACGCATTTCCATAACCTCCATCTTTTTAATGTGCTCCTTCTTAGAAGCCCAACAATCAGTACCATAGAGCAACATTGGTCTTATGACAATCTTGTAGAATTTTCCCTTTAACTGTAAGGGAATGCTTCGGTCACATAACACTCCCGTGACCGCTCTCCATTTAAGACACCCCGACTTGATCCCACGTCTTGATCAATGTCACCATTTTTTTGCATGATCGACCCAAAATATTTAAAACATTCACTCATGGTCAAGTCCTTTCCATCCAAACTCACCACATCATCGGTTGTTCCCCTCTGAGTACCAAAGCGGCAAACAAAATATTCAGTCTTACTCTAACAATTTATCTCCCTAAGTGTCTAATATAGTAGTATACTGATATATATGATCCCATAGTTTTTTAAGGGAATTTCAAACAACAAAATCAAAGAACTGCCATAAATGAAAGGTATTTAAGATCGGGAGATAACAATGCCTTTTTCTTCAAGAGATAGCTCTTGTTTGTGGCACGCATCTTGAGGTCGAGACTATACAGTTAAACAACGAACTAATTAATCAGAATAATTTTAACACATGGTACCTAAATCCTTCCCTATTCCCAGTGTTAAAATTATTTTGTGAAATCATTCGTTTACCTTAGCTAATCACCTCCTAAAGTTTGTGCCTAAAGGTTGTGTTGCAAGCAAAAGAAAATGGAAGAAGTATATATTTGCACAAAAGGTTTATTCCCTCTTGTCACCCTCCCAAGATTCAACAGTCAACACTGAATACTTCACACACTGAATACTTCACAGAAATAATAATCAGTTTAAAATAGGTAATGTTTTTAGCCAATAGGGGACAAATAAAATGTTTAATCATCACAATCCATGCCATAGTACTAAATAGCTCTCATACATATTGATAAATAAACTCATTATGAGCTTGAATTTGTATACGGAACATTAATGCTGCATTATCAGAACCTTTGATGTTTAATAATAGCTTATGGGAGAGTAAAAGTACTTTGTTTCGATAATTTTCTAGGATCCTTTCAAATTTAATAATTGCTTCACTAAAAGGTTAAAAATAGAAATGACAAGATTGGAGTTAATTTTGGATATTCAAATACTCCTCAATTGCACTAGGATTTCTTTAAGAAAAAAAAAAAAAACCATTCAAACCAAATCGCTAGATTCAAAAGTATCAACTAGTTTATATTGTCAATAAAATAAAGATCCAAGGCAATATAAGTAGTAAATGTAGGTCATTAACAAATAAGAATTATATATCAAAAGAACATAATTATTTCTAGCCCATTTCTTCAAGTCTTCCGTTCTTCATTTTGCCATATTTCCTCATTAAAACCTCTCCCCCCTACTAAAAAGAAGAGACAAATAATGATGTCGTTTAACAATTGGTTTATTCAAAGGATACTCCCTACAATTCTTTTTGTTCTTCTCATTTGGAATCTAGGCTTTAGACTCTTTACTTAAGAGATTATGTGGGGGTCTTGTTTGATTTGTCTTAGTGAGTACTTTAGAAAATTCATCTTTGATAATTTCTAGTAACATGTAATTATAGATATTAATGATTAAAAAAAAAAAAAAAAAAAAAAAAAAAAAAAAAAAAAAAAAAAAAACATGCATTGGCAAATGGAAGAGAAGATAGGAACATAGGGCATCCTAAAAGTTGGAGACATAATTAATGTGGTCATGTTATATCCAGACATGCAAAATTCAAACAAACCAAACCAAAAAAAATTTTGATATTGACCTAAATTGTAAATTTGAAATTTGATTATATCCAATTTAATCCAAACCAAGAATGAGACAACCCGGAATTCTTGGTTCAAATTAGAACCAGCACATTTTTGACCCAACTGACCCTTATTTCGTTGTATTTAAGATGTGGAAATGAGATTATGAGAAGCTTCACTTCAGCTATTATTAACCTATTAGTATCGATGGATTTAGCAAGATAAATTTGGAAGTGAATTAGTGTTTGTTAGTACTTGCTATATGGCACTTATATCAAGTATATTTTGTAGAGAGTAGACATACATATCGCATGCAAAATTGGAAACAGAAAGGCCATCTTGAAATTCCTTTACTAGGGCTAACCCATAAGCTTTGGTTCTTTAGCAAGCATTGTCCTACCCAAGATCACCCGACCAAAAACCCAGGACCAAACCCAATAGAAGCATAACCAAAAAATAAATAACTGAACAAACAATAGTTATCTAACCTGTGGCAAAGATGGCATGTCATTTGTAGAGGAACCATCTTCTGGTATATTACAGGACGGAGATGCCGTAGCTGGTTCATCATAAACATTGTTCTTTTCCTTTTCCACAAGGGCTAGACGTGAATCATTTCTACTTGATGGCACCTCTAGAATCACAGTTTTTACATCAGGTGAATCCTTCTCGTCAGTGGTAATATTTATCATGTTTCCACTGCATTGCACTTTATGTATATCATCAACCATATCTACCTTTACATCAACAGACTCAAATTTCTCATTATTAGGTTTCCTGCTATCTGAAAAAGATACACCCTTTCTTCTAGAATTCCTCTTAATAGACTTGTTTCTCATATGATCAACGCTTTCTTTTCGAATCAGAAACCTTTCTGCAGTAATTGCTTCATTCCTTGAGTTAGATTTAGGACTTCCAAGGTGATTAATGGAAGATGGAAGAGACCTAGACCTTGATAGTTTCTGAACACAGCCATCCTTCCAGCCATCCCTACTGCTAATACCCAAAGGAGAATTAAGTTTTGCAGTTTTATCATTCCTCCCAGATGTCTGTAAATGCTCATCCTGAGGAACTACAATGTCCGGGCTCTGTGGCCTTATGTCTACATCTGGAATAGCAAGCATATCAGCTAGTGTGCTGCCTTTACTAGACGCTCCATGCTCTTGAGACCTGTGAGTCATTTTCCATCTCTCAGAGAGTCTCTTTTTGGCCTCTATATTGACAGAAGACTCCATGTAGCGTAATGATGAAGCTTTGTTAGGAACTATCCTGTTAGATGAAGTTCGGGAACTTGCAAAAGTGACCTCTGATTCATCGGACGAATCATTTTCAGATGTATCGTGAGAACTTTCATCAGCAGAATATCCTTTATACCCATTACATCCGGATGATGAAACAGTAAAGGAATCGGCTCCTAATTTATTTCTCATTCGACGAGTAATTTCCCTAGCCAGCTCTCTAGATTCCCGAGATTTTCTCCCATAATTGTATGAATCACCATGCTTGCTTCCCTTACACCTCACCTCAGGTCCAAGATGCTTTACATTCGAGCACTCATTATACAAGTTGAAATCAGACTGCGGCTCACAAGTGCTGGTGGACGATGCAGATTTAGTGATATTGAGTGACTTGCACAGATTAGGCTTCAAGACCACAATTTTTGTTGGATTTGATGAAGTATCCTCATTACCGCCTGAGAAACTCGAATTATGCAAATCTGTACTATGTGGAGTGTACATGTTACCATAACAGCTAGCCGAATGTTTATGCGAATGTCTAATATCGATTTTTTGAGAAGCTTCACCAGTTGTCTGACACCCTATAACATTAATATTACATTTTAAAGCATTCTTGGAGTTCATTCCCAATACACACCTTATATAAGATTCAGGAGAATCGTGCAAGTCATGAAGATGCTTTGAAAATAAAGAATCAGGCTCCTGGAAAATTTTCAACAACAGATCTTTGTTAGAATCAAGCACATCAAGTGCATCATGATACTCTTTTGAATGCTGCAGGTTTTCATCAGTAGAAAAACGCTTGACATCCATGAATTTTTGCCTTATGAAGCTAATCTCATCCTCACAGGAAGTCCGATTGGAAGCTGCATGGAAAGTGTTGCTTCTGATTTCCATATTCAATCCGTCCACAACTTCATACACATCTTTAAACGGCTGTTGCCCCGTTACATTCTTCCTGTGCGATCGGCTGTCATGAAGTTTGCCATTTTTGGAAAACCCAGCTGAATTAGAACCCCGCTGATGACTATCAGACTGCCTCTTCTGCTTTTTGTTAGTGTTGTGCGGAGTAGGCAACCCATCAAGACCCATCAACCTAGCAATAATGCTTGGTGATCGTCTTCCAAATTCAGTTTCCTTAGACATCTCGTCAGCCAATAACTTCTTCATAGTGGTACCAGTTGACAGCCCTCCACTACCTCTTCCCAAATCAAATAACAACTATAATATACAGATAAAACCATAAGCTACAAAACCAGAAATTTGAACTCAAAAACCAAGTTTAACATTAAACCACCTAAGTTAAACTAAAACACAACCCACTCCAAACCCCAACAAAGCAGGATGAACAAGAACCTTAATTCTAGTTATAGAAGTACTCGATCTACCTCCGAAGTTGCAATGCTACTGCAAGAACCCGAATGAGAACCTGAATTCGGCGACCTATTCTGCTTTCCAACTAGCTGGTTTCCTGAAACGAAACACACGTATCACCATCAAGTAAACTCCAACAAATGAAGTACACCGAACGAACTTATACAGGGTTCTCAAGCTTACGGTAGCTTTAAAATCCGTCTAATTGCATAAAAAGCAAGACGAAACAACCCGAAGCATTACAACAACTCAAATGCAACAACAAACACAAAAAGCAGCTATCCGAACGAACATGTAATCATAAGAAAGTAAAAAATCAAGTGATTTCTAGAATGCAGCATCATGATAACCCAAATTGAAGCAACCAAAATCATGGCACCCACTAAAGTAAAGTAACTACCAATAATTACGGCATTTTAATAAAAATTAATTTTATAAAATTTGATTTTCCTAAAAGTAAGACACGACATACTAACAACTACTATATTTTTGAATAATTATGAAAAAAAAAAAAAAAAAAAAAAGAGAGAAAAGAGAATCTTAACCTCGATCAACAATGGTGGAAACATTGACTGAAGGCGATGAAACCCTAGCATGCGGTCTTCTTCGCCGAAATCTGTCCATTTTCAGTCATTTAAACTGCTTTCCCTTTTTTCTCCTATTTTGCTACATTAAAAACTAAAAACAAATATAAGTAAAAAAAAAAAGTAACCCTTAATTTTGATTCAAATTCAAAAATTGAAATGTGACAAATTTATAGAATCTAGTTAGATGCTAGAGTAAAAGATGATAAAAAAACAAAAAGAGGAGAAAAGAACAGGAAGCAGAGGTAAAGGATAGAAAGTGAAAAAACAAAAAGAGGCAGCCATTAATGGCGGACTTTCTAGCTCGAATATTTTTTTCTCTCTCTTCAAATTTTCAGGGTTTAAAATTTTTTTTTTTTTGGGGTAAATTGCGAGAGTAGTGTACTGTAGTAGTGAAGAAAGTGGGGTTTGGAATTCAAATACCGAAATCTGACAAGTATTGTTTCTTCTGAGACTGACCTCCTCTCTTTCTCTGCCCGGGCAAGTCATCCTGTCCATGTAATTGTCCGTTACTGCGACGTGTCGGTTTTCTAATTCATCTGGACCCATCTTCATCAGATTTTTCAACGATTGGGGTAATTAATTCATCATCTAGTATTTGTTTATTTTTATATTTTTTTAATTATTTACCTAGTGTTTAGTCCGGACGATGCCTCAGGTCTATAAGTTAAATACTTCACTTCAATATTATTGTTTTCATGTATGATACGAATAATAATCTTAAATACTTTTATCATAGATCTAGTTGAAGAAAATAATTTATACAAAAAAATAGAAAAAAAAACTCGTGCCCTGTTATAAAATATATTTATTGTGGATAGTCATTATGGCTTGTAAGTTGTAACACCCTTAGTATAATGCCAGCCATTGTAACCTCCTTGTAACCCCCATTTGTCATTACCTCCTTTGTAACCCCCAATTAAATGGAACCTTAATTGTCCATGAAGGTTACATTATGCTCATCATGTATATATAAAACATGGTATATTGAAATGAGAAGAATACAACACAATTACCTTCTACATATCTCTCTCTAATATTCTCCCTTTCCTCTTATTTTATAATACATTATCAACACCATCACTTTAGTTATCGGGAAACGGAGGAAACATTATTGCTAGCTGGCTTGTTGCACCAACCTCAATTAATCGAGTTGACGAAATATACGATTCAGACGATTCGTACACAATAGTTTTTGTCCCGTCGACATAAGTGTAATTACCTCCACTTTGTTTTGATTACAATCATAAAAGAATTTGGTCGTTTTGTTTGTTAGTGACGAACTACCGAATTACAACATCTTTGTTTGTTACATGTTTGCTTATTGTTATCACGTGATATTGAAATTTACTAGCCTTGTATTGATGTTGCAATTCAATTTACTAAATCATATTTATGATCTGTTGTTTTATTTTCTTAGTCCATATATATGCAGTTGTAATCATGTCGCATATTCGTATGAATCTATAAGCTACCTCTATTCGCCTTATTATCCGTGTTAATCATTAAAAATTTGTTAATTATCCATATTTTGTTTTCCATTATATATATTTATGATTTCTTATTTTGTATACGGTATATTTTTTGTTTTGTTAATTTAATTTAGTGGAGTATGTGATGATATACCATCATTATCATAAATATATAATATCCTAGGAGAATGTTAAGACTTATAATACGATAATCGTATTATAATTCATAATTTGATTACCAACTGTGAGTACACTAATATTTTCTACTATATATTATCATGATTGCTATTGATTTAATTTATTATCATGGCTTATTTTTGGTGTTGCAACATTTTTCTTTTGATCCGTGCATTACTCTTGATAAGTGTTTCGGTCTCTAATTATAATTTGCTTGCTTGATTAAGTATATATGTTTATCTTGCATAGTTAATTTAACAATAATATGGGATCTTAATATTATTAAAACTTTTATATTATGCATCATTCGGTTATAATAGTTGTTTCGGGGTTTTCTGATGTCCTGCGGGAGAGTTACAATTCCGAGACTGGAACCGTGCGCCTGTACCTGCAAAACAACGGAGACTCCGGGTGGTGGGAGCTCCGCCTCCGACGGTCAAGTTAATACTTGTTTGAGGAGTAATAAATGCGGAAAAGAGTAGAGGTTTTCTCTAGGTGAGAGTAATTAATTGTTGAATCCCCTTTAATGAGGATTAATTAGAGTATTTATAACCTTGTAAAACGTGTCAAATCCTAGGTTTAGGTTAACCTAGGGCTGACTGGGCTTTCCTTGGAAATTGGGCCTAAGTGGCCTACTTGGCCTATTTGGCATACGGAGGCCACGTGGCGTGACACAATTGGTCCATGGTGGACAGATCAACGCCTGGCACGTGGCAGACTCTTATTGGCCCATGTGGCGGACACATGGCAGGGCCTGATTGGTCCACTTGTCAGATGATGATTGGTAGGGAAAAATCCCCTAATCATTTGCCCCTCACAGGTGGCACGTGACTGTTCACATGTCACCTGTGACAGGTGTCGGCCTGTAACAGGCGACGGCCTGCTACAGGTGTCGCTTGGTGAGTGGCCGAAGGTTTTTCCCGCTCATTTTTTAATTTGGGAGTGACCCTTCGACTTCTCCTTTTGCCTATATAAGGGCATGTTGACTTCAGGTTTACTTTCACACTTGAAATCTTTGAAAGAGAACACTCGGATCCCTGAACTTGCTCTGACATTTTGGACACTTATAGCCTACCGCCTCATCTGGCAAGCCGGCTGATTTTTCAAATACCTGCTTTTTACAACATCAATTCTTCAATCGTTCAGGTAACCGTCTGTTCTCTTACTTTTCTTTTTATTTCTTTTGAACTATGGTACCTCGAAAGCACCCGGCACGACCTAGGGTAGTGATCAGTCGGTCACCGGGGACGACTGAATCTAGGACTAGGAGTGTCGTTTGCCCCTTTCCGGACCAAACTTCTCCCTTTATACATAGCCCGACTGTCTCTGTGTCTGTGCAGAACACGATGGCTTGAACTAAGAGAACAACCAGGATCACCAACTCCGATGGCTCCTCCTTTTATGTGCCGGTCAGCGAGACATCTGACCAGGCGCCTGATGTTGAAGTCAACCAAAGCGGCTCTGTCGCTGGGAGCTTAGAGGAGGGAGCCAAGGTGTTCCCTACCCATTTCACTGTTGACTTAGCCAGTCGACAATTGACCACTACAGAAGGAGAGGGGTTGGTCCCCTCTAGGAGAGAAGAGGAGTGGGACTCTTCTGATAGTGAGTCCAGCTCTAGTTCCTCAAGCTGTCACTCCCTAAACTCGGAGGAGAGGCACTCCCGACTGCATGAGTCAAGACTTTCTCTTGCGGTCGAAAAGGGGGACGAATGGTCAGAACCATCCGCTTCTAACAGGGAGTTGAACACTCCTTATTTCTGCTATGTCCCAAAGGGCCGCATCAAGGCCATGAAAGAGAAATTGGACTCCTTTCTATCGGACCATGTGATGGGTCTAGATTTTGATTTATTATGGGGACGCCTGCTTTGGTTGCTATGAGGCAGCCATTAAGGCGGGGCTTCGATTTCCCTTGCATCCGGCAGTTCAGAAAATCCTCGATGGATACGAGGTGGGGCTATGGCAGCTAGCTCCTAACTCGTGGTTTAACATCCTTGGCAATGTGGCCGGATGTGAAATGCACAGGATGGAGCCAAGTTTTGAGGTGTTCACCCATATGAACTATTTGAGTCGGACCCCCAAAGCAAGCGGTACCGGCTGGTACCAGCTATCAAGCCACAAGGGCTACTTGATGACGAGAGGGAGAGAAAATAAGTGGAAGGACTGGAGGAACACCTTCTACCTTATCCAAACCTCTGATCCTCTGTTGAACAAGCGGTACAACAGATGGAATACAAATCCTCCCCTCCTTGCAGGCGGTGCTGGCATGCCACCTGTTCCTCGCAAAGCGAGGGAAGAGATCTTGGACTGAGGGCTCTTCAAGGTGAAAACACAACTCAACCCTGCTAGCGGGGAACGGGTGCAGGTGCCTTTACACTGTATCCCCAAATTCAGGTGGCTATATGATGAATACTTCCTAGCCGCCTGTGGCCTGAGTAGTCGGGTCTCGAGAGGTAGCCGGCACCTTTTTCCTCTTTTAAGCAGATGTTGATTTATTTCTCATAACTTTCCTAACTCTCGGTTGTATCTTTTTAGCGGAAGCTATGGACAATATTTCTGCTTCTAAGAAGGCGGCAGCCATGCTCAGAGCCGCAGTAATGGGCAGTTCAAGGCCCTCCACTGAACCTCCTTCAAAGGAGTCGCCCCAAGTGAGCTTTGACCCTTCAAGCTTTGTCTTCTACACATTTGTGTTTATTTAATATTGACCATCCATCGACTTCTCCAGGCGGGCACTTCTAAACCCTCCTCCTCCCAGCAACCGGACTCAAAGGTTCGGAAAACGACTGGTGGGAGTACGCCTGGTTTTTCCAGGAAACAGGCGACCGACAAGCAGCCGGTCACCCCCCAATCTGGGGGTAAAACTACTCAAGTCTCTAGCCAGCCCCCGAGAGGTACAATCTGGTCCCCTGTTTTGTTGGTTCATTGCTTTATTTTCTTTACTACATCGTGCTGATGTTTTACCGTTTGATACAGGCGGCCAGCAAGGACCGAACTTGGTCGAAATGGCCAAGTCCATGGTGAGATCCGTCCCTCTTGAGGAGAGGGACACGGTCCGGGGAGTCGGCACCCTAGACCTTGATGGCATAATGGGTCTCCTCTCTGAGGTATACTTGGTATTTTTGTCGTTGTTTTCCAAGACGCTTGCTTTTGGTCTTAGTATCTGACGACTGTTTTTCTTTTATAGTCCCTGCTCTGAATAAATGGCCTTCGCAAGCCAATTAATGCGAAGAACAAAGAGGTAAAGGCTGCTAAAGCCATGGCCGCCTCTGACTGTGACAAGGCAATGTTTCAAATTGCCCAAAATGAAATTTTGACAACTGATATTCTTTATTATCAGGCGCAGGCCACTTTGTCGGTCCGCACTGAGTTGGAGGCGGCCAAGAAGAAGAACACGGAGCTGGAGACCGCCATCAAGACCCTCCGAGAGAAGCTGGAGCCACTCAAGCATACTGCGCACCTTAATGAATCTTTGCTGAAATCAGTAGAGAATCTTAAAGGACAGCTGAAGGTCCAGGAGGCGGCCATCAGCAAGGAGCTAACGGCCAAGGCTGAAACTGAAAAAATGGCTTTGGTTAGGTCTATGATGGAGAACCTGGCCAAAATCCAAAAAATGACCTGGTCCCGCCTCTTCCCAAAAGCCAATTATGCCTCATGGGAGAAGAAGTTCAAAGCTTGTACTAAAGAGTACAATCGAAGGATTATGGAGGCGGCGGTTGTGGCGGATGAGGCGCAGGAGGTCAGCGAGGAGGAAGAGGCGGTGGTTGCCCTCGACCCAATGGAGGTGGATGCAAACAAGGATTCGACCCCTGAAGGCGAGTCAACTAAGAAGGGTGCTTCGAAGGACCAAGCGCCCACAGTTGATGTCGATCAGGCGGCCGTTAATACCGATGCCCCTCCAAATGCTTAAGCTTTTTATATTTTCAACTTTTTCTTCGGCCTGCGTGCCGTTTATTTTTGTCTCTTTACCCGGCCAGGGGGCCGGGGTATTTGAATATTTTGCTAGTCTTTATGGCCGGCTGTTTATATGAATTCGGCGACCATCTTTTGGTCGTCTTTGCTCATTAACTTTTGCTTCATGCTTTATTTTTGAATATTTTTCTAAGTGTCGAGGATCCTTGATATCCGCTTGCCTGTCATACCGACTGTTTTGGCTAAATTTGTAAGCCAAAAGTTGCGAACAGGTACAAAGTAACGACTGCCTATGCCCCTGGACGACTGGTTGTCTTGGTTCCAGGTTAGGCGATCAGTCGGCTATTTATTTAGTCGGACCCCAACATATTTTAGACAATACGTTAGGTTTGTTTAACTTTTTCAAGTTAGAAAGGAACAGGCCGTCTATAACTAGCCCGCCTGTTAGTTAAGATAGAAATAGTTCTTGAGTCCTTGCTTGCCAAAAAGTAGTCGACCTACGAACCAGATT